TGTCAGCTCACGTTAATTGTCAATCCTGTCCACACTGTAAGCAAGAGATTTAAAAAGGCACCAGTTAAACATCAAGTCCAAGATGAATCCTTTTGATTCAAATTTTGAAATAAAAAAAATGTACGAAAACAAGCTAAACATTTACAATAACAAACAAGGTTCAACGTTATATCTTGTTGGTGAATTAATGTCACTTTCACATGCTGTATTTCCAGGAGAGCACGTATTCAAAGTTTCTTCCACTTCAGTTTCAGAATTTGAACCTTTTAAAATTGATGATACTAATTCCGATCTTACAAAGATTGCTGATGCTATTTATCAAAAAGTGGTTCATTTACCAAATATCAATGTTGTAAAAGGTATGAAATTTTAGTTATTTGCGTTTGTTAAATTTAGTCTTATAATAATAATATCTGTAAAAATGATGTTGAACAAAATCATGATATTTAGTAATTTCTGGTCGTCATCACACTCATCTCATCACATTCGAAGGAAGAATTTTGAGTTTTGGAACAAATGCTCATGGTGAATTATGTTGTGGAGTATCTGGAGCATTAGGTGGTTCTCCAATTAGAGGTCTCATTAGAGCTGAAGGTTTGTTTTTAATGATTATAAGTTTGATTGTAAATTCATTTGTTAACAAATTACAACAACAACAACAACAATATAGGTGTCATCAATGAATATAAAATAATTGACGGAGCTGGAGGTGGATATCACAGTATTTTCATTTCAATTGATGGTTCAGTATTTGTAAATGGATCTAATTCAGCTAATCAATTGGGAATTTCAGATACTGAATCTCAAAAGAAACCAGTTAAACTTCCAAGTGATTATTTTGATGGTCAACCTATTTGTAAAGTAGGAGCTAACAATACTCATTCTGTATTTATTACAAGAAATTCTCAAGTTTATGTTGCAGGATCTGATTCTAATGGATGTTGTGCAGGTATTAAAAGTAGTTCAGTACCTTTATTATTGAAATTTCCAATACAATTTACACCAATTGATGTCAGTTGTGGTTATGATGATACTAAATTTCTAACAAGTCAAGGTGTAGTATTGGGATGTGGATGTGGAAGTCATGGTACAGCAGTTATTGATGATTCAACAAATGAAACAACTAATTTGAAATATCAATTCGAAGGTTTTACAGATATTATTAAAATATCAAATGGATATTTCTGTCAATCATTTCAAACAAGTGATTTT